AAAGACAAAGGTGCTGAGAGAATAGATTGGTTTTAATTATGAGATCGAGATTTTTGTCATGAGGTTATGTTTACCAAATCAGCTGTTTAACTTCTAGATTCATTGTAAATGTAGAGAAAGTCTAAAGTTTTTTTGTCCATGTGGATACGAATAAAGGTAATACGTACGAATACGACAACAAAAGGAAAAATAATAACTACAGAACTACAAGTACTAAGAAATAATTGTTTATTTATTCAGTAAAAACTGTATGTGACGTTGTGGGGAGATCATTTGCGCACGTTTTTTGAGTCCAGAATCTCTTTCACATTTTAACTAGCAAATAGTTGAAAGATGAATAAAAGTTTAAAAATAAAACAACATATAATATAAAAATTAGAAAAACACGAAATCAGAAACATTTGGAAAAACTAAACATTTTCGTTCCCTAGTTATAAAAATTCATTTGCAACGCATCGGTAAATCGACTAATTAGATTTTTCTGCATTGCTAACAAATGGTAATCATCTCCAGAGAAGAATAATTAATATTTATTAAAAATAAAGATACAGAAACTAGGAAATAAACTATGCTACTCAAACCACCATAACACCATACCAGATTATAACGCAAGAACTCGGAAACTGAACGATAGAATATAAGGAATTAATCAAAGGTTCAGGTTGGTCCGCATTGGTTCCAGCGTCATTCTCGCTCACAGCCTCTTGAATCGCTTCTCAATATTAGTTGTGTTCAGCTGATTTGGCGGAGTAAATTGGAGGTATGTACTCTAGAGTAAAATAACCTCTAGAAGACATGGTGAAACGCTCATATTCTACTCGAGAGTTACTATCTTGGAGTAAAGGGTTACTCTCAGGTAAATAGCTCTCAACTTTACTTGGCTGTTGTGAAATCGGCCTGGAGAGAGAGACCTTCCCCTGCCACTCTTCGCGCTTGCGCAGTCCTTTTTTTCCTTAGTGTGGAGCAATAGTTTTAAAAGTTCTATTTTCCTCGCGACATTTTTTCTGTTTTCGCAGTGCGACGTGTATCACTCGATCTGGCCAAACGGGCAGGCCTTCAAGGAGTAGCTCACTCAATATCCGTACACCCACGGGAGGGTCCAATCTGTGGGGCGAACCACGGGAAGAAGCGCACTTCCGAGGGGGGGCTGACGACGAGCGCGCCACAAGGATCGCGCACAAGAGCTGTCCACGTCAGTTTCGGCAGCGCCGACCTCAGCGCGCCATCCACAGGTACGACTTCGTCTAGATGGGGTGGATGGTGTAGCGGGGGGCCTATAAAGAAGAAAATCTCTCCCTCAAAAAGGGCATTGTATTTTTTATTTAAATAAAAAAGTATTTGTATGTTTGCTTTCCGCATTTCTTTTTTCGCTTTTTAATTGAGCAAAAAGGTGTATTTATACACAAAGGAAGAAATTTTCTTATGCTTTTTCGAACTCAAAATTTGTCTGAGAAGGATCGTTTCGCCCTTCCAGTGATAGTGCCGAGAGTAATTTAAGGCTAACGTGCAAGACATCGGCGACCGTCTGATCGAGGTGATCGGCCTGGAGAACTGTCTGCACATGCGGCCAAGTGCGCACGGGCCTTGGGGCGTCGGGCCGTCGCCTGGCGCGTGCTCAGCGTCGTCATCCGCACCCGCAAGCGTTTTCCCCATGCAGATCGACGGCGGAGCCCTGGATGCAGCCGCCGTGTACTGTGAGTAAACGCCCATTTAAATAGCGTGGCGCTTCGAGGCCAGTGCTTGGGAGTAGAGGGAGCATTGTCTTCCAATCGGGAGTTAATACAATATTAAAGTCGTAACGAAGTTCCCGAGAAGACACTGTCCTGTCCGTTCAGTCTCGTGGCTGAAATACGACTTGTTTAAATCGAGTATAACCATTGTCGCCTGTCCAGATCGAGGACGGCCACCTCGACCCGAAGCGTTAGACGAATTACATATCCCGTTTGCTCCGTTAAAACAAGAGTGAGTAACACATGATTCTTGACGCTGACCGTTAGGTATAATATATATATATTATATATATATATATAATATATTATATATATATATATTATATTATATATATAATGGGCTTCCAGTGGGTTTGACGCTGCTTAGAAGAATGATCGAAGAAAATCTTTTGTGCAATTAAAAGTTTAATGATTGAAACACTATGTACAAAAATTCTTTACATGCCAGTGCGCAAGGCTTTTGTGATTCGTGCACAAGTAACGCTACCTTGAGGCTCCCGATGTCCACGGCTGGCTGGAACGCGAGCGGGGCCGCCGTGGCAACGGTGCGGCGTGGTGTTCGGCAAACTCGGTCCGCCCCGAAGTTTGTCGGAAATCGCTCTCCCTCGCGGTTGACTCCGCTGCCCCCCCCCCAAGCAATGGCCGACGAGCTCGCCGGGTCCACCCCAGCCAGTACATATCAATGTCACATATCCTGACATGCACAACGCGCCAATTGCGTCCCGTCGGCAGTTCCGATCTCAGCAGTTCTTCTCGATCCCTCGAATGTTCACACGGTGCGGCCCGTTGCTGCATCACACCGGGCGGACATGGAACACGTGTCTGTCGGCCACTCAAACCTCAGTATTAATGTTTTCACTGGATCCCGTCCTGGTGCGCACTTCTTTCTCCTAATACCTGATTATCAATTTTATCACCTCTAATCTCCACTTAATGGCTACAATCAATTCCACACTGTTGTATATCACTATAAATTGCTTGGGGCAGCACAGCCGTCCGTGTTGCGTCGGGCCTTCTGCCGATACTTTCTTCGCACTAGTGGATAATATTCCGAATCATTGCTGGAATCGTCTTCAAATACTATCATTCGTAATCTTCTAACCGTAACAACACTTCGGAGGTACATGCAAGTTGAAAACTGAATTTACTCCGTAATTTACCCGACGGATTTTCGCGGTGTAAAGTTACTCTCGAATTTACACTCGTGTAATCGATTTACACTCGAGTAAAGTGTTGGTGAAACGCTCCAAGAAGTTACTCTCGAATAAACATGATTTACTCCAGAGTAAACTCTTACTTTTTGTTTGGCGAAACCGGCCCTCAGAGACTTAACTTGCCCGCTTGAGGAGTCACCACCGCCTCGGCCTGGCCTTCACGAACATCCCAAATCATAAGTTGCAAAAGGAATCAGTTATCGTTGCAGGGGGTCCTTGACTTCAACTGAGCTCCCCTTCGGGAGCAGTGGGAGATAGCTTAACCACGCCTTCCGAGGTCAGCGATGCCATTAGTTTTTTTTGTAAGTGGTTAAGCTATAGGTTCTTATGGTTTTTACCGGAAAAGATGTAGTAATATTAGGGATTCTTCTACGGCAGCTTCGAAGACGCATTCGCTCATTCCTCGCTATCGGCAGATAGTGGAAGCGGCAGATGGCAGATTTCGGAATCGGAGGACAACATATGGAGTGTGATTTAATCCTAAAATGTTAAATTTACTGCATTTTGGGTTTGTTTACATTGTAAAGATACTTTTCACTGTCAGATTGGATTTTGGGCACTTGATTAGAAGTAGTCCTGTATTAATCCTTTCATTCATAATGAAATTTTTATAAAAGCCACTCCAAATGTAATCCATCCATTGTATCGGTACCTACGGAATATTCCGCTTCATCGGACCAATGTTCTTCTGTTTTAGTTTTTAGAATCGACGAATGAGTGTCTTTAAGAATAATTATACGCTTCCGTAAATGCTGAACTGTATACGCTGGTAATACAATAAAATGGCAAGAAAAAGTTACCAGAAAGCTATAAGAACGACACATTCCAGACAATTCATTCGGTTGAGATGCAGCACTTAGGGAAAATAGGTATTGAAATGTGCGTCATTGATGTGAATGAAATCTGCTTGTAGTCACCTATTGGCGCGGAGCTGTTGCGACTATATTAACTTTATTTTTATTAGTACCAAAACCTAGAAGATTTGATTGAGTCGTGTGAAGTACTCAACGAGATGTATTATCTTCGAAAGAATCGCAATAGTAGAGGCGAAGGTGAGTTGCGGTTCATTAAAAAACTAGTGCCATTTTTTCAAACAAGTTTCGTAGCCCTTCCACACCAGAAATTAGCAATATACAGGTTTGGTGAAAAAGTGGCATACTCCAGCGTCAGTTGCAAGACCTTAAAGTGAATTAACCTCGTCCGTTCGTACACCTATTATCATCACAGATTTTCGAGCACGAAGATATCGACTAAGAAGTCGACAATTGTTGCAACACGCGAGCATTTTGCGAAGGTCTTGTCAACTCGTTTTATACGTTATGGATGCGAAGCCCTTCAACATGGCATGCGTTTAAGAACCGAAGGAGGAAGACCAGGCGAAACGTGCGAACTGTTTGTGTGCAAAACTGCACATAGATACTCCCAACTATTGTGAGGGGATTATTGGATCTGTCTTTATATTTTATGAATGATGACGACTGAATCCATCTGAGAGGTCATGTGAACTCTCAGACCACCAGATACCGAACTATAACCAATTCAGTACGATTCGTGAGAAAGCTGTTCAAGATTACAAAAAAAAAAAAAAAAAAAAGGTTAGTGTGCTGTATCTGAGAGCCGGATAGCTGATTCCATAGTCAGAAACAACAGCCAACTCCAATTTGTGTATGGAAATTATTGGAAGATTTCACGCAGTTGACGCGTATTGAGTATTCGTGTGCTTTTTTTCAAAAGGATGAGGCGACTTTTCACACATTACGCAAGTCAATCTCACTAATTCATGATTCACTGAAGAACTATATCAAAAGTTACCGGATTTATCTACGCGTAAATTGTATCTGTGGACCAGTCTCAACTGAGAAGTATATGTTAATAATTCATGTACATTACAAGAATTGAAGAACAATATGTGTTCAATATGAGAACTGGTATGTACAACCTGTATAACTGTATAACCTGAGACATCTGTGATTGAGAGTGCAGAGTGCAGGAAGGTGAAATTAGGAACATTAATAACGCAATAGTTTTGAAGCGAAGAGAATTATGAAGAGACTGAAAGATTACAATGCATCAGTGCTCGTACCTCATGTGCCTTCCATGAGGTTTCACGATTAGCTACGAGTGTGTGATCTGCTAGAAATCGAATTTGGGTTGTCAACTATTTGTAATAGATTACAGACATTTTACAACAACGAAAATTTGAAAATAATAATTAATATAGTGGAGCCTCCCCGTAATGTCTGTTACGCTGAAATGAAGAAATCAACTTCTCGAATTCTTCGCCTCGTTGATATTGAGTTCCCGATCATTTTGTTTTAAGAAAACTGAGGGATATTAGCACAATTTTAGCTGTCGTGGAATTTGTAGTACCGATGTGGGAGTAATGAAGGTCCTGCTGCATTTTAAAAGAAAGTTATTTGCTTAATGTGCAAATGATCGCATTAGGAGCAGTTACTGAAAATAACTACTGCATTTTCAAACCGATTTCTATGGACTGAAAATAACCATTAAAGAATTAGTGCCACTCACCATAATGTCAAGATCTTCATGAAGGTTTTTGCACGAGGCAGCGAACTGCTCTGAAGTTGCAAATTCGAAGTACCAGAGTTTGTTCTTCATGCGACTATTAAACTTCTCTGGATTCTTCTCTCGCTCCATGTGGAACTTTACACAGATAGCTGCATCCTACGTTCACAAAAAGATTCTCGTTATTAAAAGAGAAAAGAACAAAGGATCACTGTGGCAAATGTTCCGTTAACTCGTGGTAATTAATATAGTAAACCATTTGCTAAAATCACTATAGGAATGTTTATTTATCTTTAAGAAGTCATAGCTCAATTTAAGACGTGAATATGCAGCACTGTTAACTGCGTATACTATATTGGAAACTATATCCGACAACATTCAGAAACCTTACCATTTAAATACACTTTGACAATTTGTCACTCAGTTATTAAGGATTCTAACTTCACTATTGAAAAAAAATAAATGAATGTAAAATAAGTTGTCAAAGAATGTTCATTTATCTAAAAATTAAAATTTAACAATTTAACCAGAGTTACATTTTTCATTGTCGCCTTTTCTCCCGTTTCTACGGAGTCGGCGGTAATGGGGACTGGTTCAGAGTTACAATTGAACATTTTATCCTAACTCCGAAAACGGACGCTGTTTCCGTTCATGATTATTGTGTCTCCACGAGACAATCATGTAATATTCTACCATATGCTTCGTTGACTACGGATCCCATAAGACAACTAGTGGTACTGCAACATCACATACTATCTCGCATAATTTCTAACTTTTTGCAATTTTTGAAACGTCAGAGAACAAAAATTAGAACTTTTTAAGGGTCCTTTGGTCCATCTGAGGAAAAAAATTGCAGCCATTTTTGAGAATTTTTTAAAATAATTTGCGTGAACTGTATGCAAAAATTACGTTTTAATTCGTTTTTATCAAAATTGTGTATGATCTTATTTAAATATCTTATTTTTAAGAGCGATTTTATCCAGGAAAACACCTTTAATTTTCGCAATTTTCGAAAAAACAGAGTTCGCCGAAAATGGGACCTGCTCCAGTTTCAAGCGTTTTTTGGTACATCTGTGAAAAGAAATTAAAAAAGGGAAAGGAGAGAAATGGGGTAAAGAAGAAAAAGAGGGGAAAGAAGAGAAAGAGGGGAAGGAAAGGAAAGGAAAGTGAAGGGAAGGAGAGTGAAGTAAGGAAAACTCTTGTGTAAGTTCACTTAGACGACCACTCGGTGGAAGAAGAAGAAGAAGAAGAAACATCGTAACGAATATGTTTGTATATACGAGGTTTTGTACAAATATATAATGTGCATGGAATCGTGTGCACACACACACACACACACACACGCACGCACGCACGCACGCACGCACGCGCGCGCACACACACACACACACACACATATATATGGCAAATAATTTTGCCTGAAATTCTTCAGTGAATGATTAGATTGGGAAAATGCAGTGAAAAGTATACTCACCACTCCAATAGAGAAATAATTGTTGATGATGTTGTAGGGAATGGGATCCCCTCCTTCCTCAGCTTGCTCAGACACTTCAATCTGCCATCGGTCCAGCATCACCGGAGTCGACTTCTCAATTTTCTGTAAAATGTGTTGGAAACGAAATGTAAATGCAAAATACTGGAACTGCAGACGATATTGATTATGTTTTGTTTCCCTTCCACGAACTAAAAGATTGAATTTGTTTTATAATACAGTTTCCAGAAACAATTTTGTAGAAGATTTAGAAAGTGATTGTTCGTAAATCATGACATCGTAATGCCTGGGTTGAAAATTATTTCCGTTCGGATTTTTCATAGAAGTATACATAAAAAGCTCTCATTCTTTAGAGGCTTCAACTTTTCGAACTAGTGAATTGATAACAAAGTTCACCTCGTATAACTACATATCTTTTTTTAAAAATTTTCTGCTCGCTTGGACCCCAATGCAATGTAAAATTATAAACTGTTTAATGAAAGATAAAATAATGCGGAAAGTAGAAGTTTTCTGCGGTACTTATTTCCAATGCACGCAGAAATTGTAAGAAAATATGCAGCCTTTGGCTATGTGAGAGGTGTCTATGAATTTGTTAGATACTAAGGAACTTGCAAAAAATTAAAAAATAATTAAATAAAAACAATGGATTGCTTCCATTTTGACTGGAAAATGCATATATTTGATTGTGTTATGCCGCCTATACTCACACTGCGCTTACCGACTAAATTCTCAAGCTCAGTATGTCATTATTTACTACACAGCTGATGTTATGCGACTAGAGCGTTTATGAATATAAAAACCTATTGATAGTCTTCAAATAAACTATCGAATAATATCGAAAGTACTACCGAAACGGAAATAAAAAATAATGTTTCGAAATCATTATGTTTCGAGTAATTGTTAATTACTATTTTTCAACAAATAAATAAACCAAAATAATATTGTTAATATTGCGAATTAATGAAAAGGTTAATCCTTACCAATTTTTCCAATAAATACTCCGTCCTGAAATGCAAACGTCTTTGAAAAATGTGTAAAATATTGTAATTCACTTTCAGTGTTGCCACTTCGAAAAATATTTGGTAAATATCAAAATACAACGGCAATAAATTATACGTTGCTAACTTGTACTAGTGTGAGTAATCGTATCCGTGCATAAAGGAAATTGATAATTCACTTAAAAAACTGATGCTCATTCACGCTCACCATGATCGGTAATTTTGCCTTTTTTCTCTTATTAAGAAAATACGAAGTTGAACTAATATTTGAATCAGTGATCACTTTGTATCTACATTTAACGAGAGATAAATAGAAGATGAGAAGAATTATGTTCCTGGAGTATTTGTAATTAAAATAAACTATTTAATGTACACATTTTAATAAAAAATTGATTCTGATATTATTCGCTAGCTTTCAGAAGTTGAATACTCTCAATAGTACCATCGAACTCTATGCAACAGCAGCGCTCTAAAGAAAGACGCGCCCGACATTAAATACCTTCTATTTACGTGTTGCGTTCTGGAACAGCACCTTTTAAAAATATTCTTTGTACGCAAAGAACTGTTATATTGTGAATCCGTATTCTCATAAACTTTGTAATCGCACTACCAGTGAGAGCAGTTTTTGTTAAAATACTTAATTTATTGCAGTGTTATACGAGAGTATTTTATTTGTTGTTCTTGAGGAGTGTGCGTGTTGCATTTTGGAAATCATTTTGTGTAGTTTCGTTCAGTAGCATTTTTGCTGCCTCTAACTACTCTGGAGTAGAAAATAATAGTAACTCCGACGACGCGAAGGAAAATCAATGTGTTCCGATCAACTTTTAATGTCCTTTCCACTTTCAAAAAATTGCCTTTTTTTGGAAGTATCACGTTCTTACAGCCACACTAATATAAACACGGATAGTTTTCGCCTTGTTGTATGGAGAAAATGCTGAGATGATTACTTTCATCTTACTGTGTCACCAGATGCAGATTTTTTGACGCATATGAAATAGCACATGTGCCTGTGAAAGGACACGTGACATGAAAAATTGGAGTACTTGATTAAAACTAGTTCTGTTACATAGGTTACATACAAAGTGACAAGTATAGAAATCAGTTTAAAAACGAATGGTAATCGCATTGTATAATATTGTCGGACTACTGTGAAAATTAACAAAAGGAATATAAAATGAAAGAATGAAATATAACATGGAAATAAATACTAAAAATCAGATCGTTTTTCTCTCTTTGGCATTGCCTTTGAAAGCGGTGCTGTCCTATATAAAACAGGATTCGTGAAATCATTTTGAGTTAATATGAACTGGACTTTGTGCTGGTTTAATCTTTAAAGAATTAAAACGTATCGAATGTCATAATGGAGCGAAAGACCACTGCTCTTGTTACAGCACATAAAGGAAATTCGACACTTTCATTGAACCTGACAGTAGGTACACATGAAGGCTTGAGTCTTGGAATTTAGAAAGTACAGAAGATTCAACAGTGCCATGTGTTATAGTTTTGTCGCAAATAATACTTATTGAAGAAACTAGTTTGATACTATGAATACGAGCTTGAAACAAGTTTGATATTAAAGAAACAAGTTTGGTATGAAATAAAACGTATATCTTTCAATATTTTATTTAGATTGGCCCCAGAGTATAACATATTAATATACAGCCAGGCATTGAATGCGTTTTTCAACTGTATCGTCTGTTTCATTGACTTAGTGTTAGCATGAGGCATGGAAAAAAGGTTGGTTAACGTTTTTAATAAATGTCCGTATATCATATAAAAATTATGGTAGAACTATTAAGAGTTAATAATTAGAATTAAAAATTGCAGTTATTTTTGTCAATTTCCTCTTATATTCCCGGCAAAAAAAGAATCCATAAGAGTACACAATTCATTATGACGTTCGTAATAAAACCCGAATGGACGCGATATTCAACTGTTAGCGCACCGTCGTAGACAAACCAATCAATACATCAATTCAGACCATGTCGTGGCTATAAATAGAAGCCAGAGCAAACGGAGTATTCTCGACTGAGAAGAAACGAATCCAGAAATTAGTATATTGGAGAGAGAGGGAGTCAATTCAGAGTTCGGATCCTTCCTCATAAATTCATTCAAGAAAACTGACAGAATTTCAGATAGTGGGATTCCTCCTGAAGTGCTGTCTGTCCGGCTTAATGGGAATACTATTTTCGGAACGCAATGCATCCAACGAGTAGAGAAAGTCTTAATATTTTCGTAATATATTTCTGTTATATCGAATTAACGCAGCCAAACAGAAAAACAAAAAGGCATTGGTATCGGTCAGCGCCCATTAAGGATTTTGCATTTCGCCGCCCTTCAACAACAATCGAAACAAATGAGTTGCGTCTAATTGGGGCGGATTAGTGCTCCTAATTTAGAGAATAATATTTATTATTTATATATTATTTTTATGAAGTGGTATTACGAAAAGTATTGATTGACACACCAGATGTTGGACTGGACTCCAATCATAAAACTTTGACTTAAAATGATGCTAAAATATTTACATTCTGAAAAAAACTCTACATGACAACATTTAAATATTTAATTTTGATTAATTGAAGAATAGATTTCACTAAGAAAAATATAGAGCTTCAATAATGAAGGTTCGTTCGAAATAGAATTTAATGTACCTTGTATATGTACCTTAATTAAACACGCACTTTTATCTCATTCAGCAAAAATGAGGACCTATCTTTGGAAAAAATTGAAAATGACCGAAGTAAAGAAGTCGCAGAAATTAAAAGATCCATTTCAAATTCGCAAGATCTCGGCAAGAGTTCAGCCAGAGCGTTTGAAGAATATTCATTTTTGTGAAAAATCGGTGGTCAGATTTTACACGCTAGTGTTGTGCACAGTCAACGACAAAAGGGAATTCAGTTATATTTAAAAAAAATACACGTGCTCCAAAATGTGCGCTTCCTTCAAAATCTCGACGCAGAGTTTTTGCAGCATTATCTCTTTGTTTAATACGTATGTACCAGAATATGATAAAGTAAAAATGTCGGATTTGGGAAGGGCCATGGTTTTCTTGTGGCCTCTCCCCTTCAAATAAATTTAATGACGCCTTATTTTACGTGGAGAGGCTCAAGACATCACGCCTGCTCTTCCACCCGACGATCCAAATTATCGTACATTGAGCTGTTTTCACGATGTAGCAGCGAAAGAAGGTTTCATTCGAACAACGAAACAGGCAATTAAAATGAAACTCAGAGGCTATTTTTATGCGTGATTATCTTTTTTACACGCAGAAAACCTTCAACATGCTACAGGGGGTTTTACGTTTCAAAAAGAAGGCGTACGTAGGATTTTTTACCCTTACAAATCTACGACTTTGATCGGATTTGACCCACGAACGTGGGTTCAAGAGGCCGATGCGCTAACCGTTGTACCTGGGCGACCGCCAACTCACCTTGAGCAGTTTGGGGAGAGCTTCGCCCTCGTAGCCGCCGCCCCAGCGCAGACACCGCGCCAGGTCGTTGCCGGTGCCCAGCGGGATGACGCCCACGGCAGGCTGATGCTCGAAGTGGATGCGATCTGCACACACGGGAAGTTGCCGCCCCTTCACGCCTTCTAAGCAATAGCGTTCGCTCCGAGCCGTAGTAGCCCCCGCCCCAACACACAAAACCCACAGCCGCATCACTGCTCCGTAAATGGAGGGGCTACTGATGTGCGGGAAATCTCCAAAGAAGAACACACGTCGTCAACGCTATATATTAAGGCATGTGCGCACGGTGACCGACGTACAAGAGATCGTTGCAGAGATCGACGTACAGATTATTTGTGTGTTTATATGTATGATAAGATTAAAGGTTTACAATTTGTTTTAATTAATCAGACAAAACGTATTAAATAATAAATACGTAAATAAATAAAATCACAACGAATCAGTAAATCTCAACAAATCAGTCACATACAATAAATAAAAAGTAAATAGTAAAAACATAAAAATAATACATAAATTTCACTTTGAAGTTACTAACAACATTTTCACAATAATTATATTTAACCAAAAACAAAGTTCGTTCGCTTACTAACACTATCCACAGAACGTGTCTCACTGTGTCCATCAACCTCGCAAGTCACCAGCTGGCCTTTGCCATCGTTCGTGAACGAACGAGTCTGAACTGTGCCACCGGCTGACAGAGGCCCCGTGACGTTCTGGCTTAGCCGAAGCGTCGGTTCGCCCGCTGTCGAAGCGCGGAGGTCACGTAAGGTCCTGATACAAAGTGCCTAAAAACACTATTTCTAATATTCCATAGCCCTTCAAAATTGGCATATAGAGGCTTTGCTGGTGAAATGTCATGAAAATCCGAGTATCCAGCACGGTGAGTGACGGGAGTAAGATTTAAAAATTTCCTCAACGCCAACTTGAATCTAGCCATTCTTAGACTGCAGAATGTGACAGACCAGCTTACCCATAGAACGGGATGGGATAAGAAACGTTATGAGAAGGAAGGGTTTTAGCGGGTTACAAGTTTGTTTTTGATGCTGAGATACTGCAGCAATTTCCTGAAACTGAAGGGAGAAACTGTGGACAGGACAATTTTTTGCAGACAACACTTGGAATTTTCATTGAATTAGAAGCTTCGTTCAGCCCAACTATTTGTCGATGGAAATCCGTCACGTTTGCCGGAATATTTGCTTACAATTGATGAAAATATGAAATATTACAGAAGAAACAAAATGCTAATTACTTGGCATTTTCTACTGAGACGCCCGGGACTATAACACAACTAATTTAGTGTATTTAACCCTGGTACCCAATTTCTAAATACTCTGCCTCATGTAACATTCCCAATGACAAGGCCCACCTTCTTTGAGTATTGCCTTCACACCTTTACAGTACAGATATAATGTAAGTATATTGCAAAGTAATTTTAAGAAAAAGATTAGAACGTGGAAAGTTTCTCAACAAAAGCTAGGTTGTGGAGGTTTTGCATAATTTAGAATCACTCACTGTTTGTATTGCGGATGCTATTCTTCTTCAAGGCAATTGCGATGACGCCGCGTCCCCGCCAGACAACAGTGTAGCGGCCCGCTTGGCTTCCCTCACTCAAGGAGGGGCACGAAGTCATGAACACCCAGCACCCTCGCCCGCTCCAACTCTCACTCCGATGACAGATCTAATTCCGATTTGTACGTTCTCCCGTGACAGGGAACTGGGAGCGCCTTGCCGGCTCGACGATGCGCCACGGCTTAAGTGCCTGCGCCATTGCTGAGGCCTGTTCAGGGTTTTGTATTTGTCTGTCCTAGTTTCTTTGTAAGTAATTCCGTATAGACTTCGATGTTGTGTTTTCCTTATGAGGATCATAATATAATGGACTGGTCACTGTAGATTGAAATGAGAGAGCCAGAGCTGGCGAAGTGTTTTGTGGGTCCATGACTTCCCCCTCTTGGGGAAACATGTCGCGTTAATACACTCCCTTTTCACTCTGCGAGTAGTGCAGCGTACTACTAGATCTTGTGGGGATGCAGCGTCACTACAGAAACTAAACAGTTTGTGTGACTGTATTTGAAAAGAAGTAAAAATATTGACATTATTACACTCTTGTAAATTGTTTTAGGGAAAGGTCATGCTCATTTTTTGCCTAACTAATCTCAATAAGCTAAACAAAACTGTATTTGTTAATGAAAATACAACTCTATATATTTGTAAGATTTACAGCAGGGATAATGATTGTTTTTGTGAATTGCTGATGTATTGTGATAATGACATGATTAGTAATGACATTACTTCATCAGAACTGTTAAGAAACGAAATTAATCAACTAATATCATATTTTTTCTAGTTTTTCTCATGATTTAATGCAACTTTCTTGTAAAAATCTGAAACTATGTAAATTTGCATGTTTGTGGTTAATTTTAAGTGTACGAGGTGGACGAGATATCGGCTATCATTTTCTCAATTTCAATGAGTACTGTTGAAACAATTATTTGAAAATATAAAACTTATCACACGTAATGTAATACTATTTACATAAAAGTAAACTCAATTTTCTTGGAATTCATGCAGACAAAAATGTATGCAATAGAATGTGAGCACGTATGTGAACTTCATATCAGATATAAGTTGAGGAATAACATTATTATCTCTATAAAATGTATTTGGTAAAATTAATGAACAGTGATTCGTGGGAATCGTCAACGTGTTCAATCCATGATTTTGCATGCAGCCAAAAAAGGTTTACATTTGAATGACTAGAATATACTATTTCAGTATGCCATGTTATGCCATTAATATGCCAGGTTTATACCTATTAACGTGATTGTATTAAGAGTGTTGATGTATTTTCAGAACCCCAGACAGCATAAAAGTGCTAAATGACTTTGCAAAGAATGAAGATTGACAAATATTGTGCATTAAATATGCAACCAATATCTCTAAACGACAAAAATCGTTCAGAGGCCATGTTTTGCAGTACACAATATTTGATAAATTTTGGTTTTACGCCCAATACTATATTAAATTCTATATAACATTTCTTTTTAAGTCACTTGCTTGGTGTGTTTCATACGTAATTCACATCTCGTGAACGAAACGCCTTCGTAATTGGAGCTATGCAACCCGTGATGCAGTCTGTGCTACGGCATCACATGCTGAACACCAGCGCCTACCATCTGCACGATCTGGAACTTGTTGTGTCGATTCTGCTTTCCTCAAATGATATTTGATTATTTTATAAGCGGCTGTCTCAGTCGTAGATAATTTTCAACCGCTACTATAATCAACTCATTACTTTTTTACAAGTTGTACACCCTTTCGAACATGAAGACACATTATAATAATTAATTTTATTGTAACTAATACATCATAATTTTAATAGATGTTAATTTTCACGTTTATATATTATTATGGGAACATTTTTAGTTCTTTTTGTGTAGATCGTACGATCACAATATGATGTGCTAATGCATTTCTCAACAATTACACTGACAGAGATATTGAGGGGTTAGAGAGGGCGTTAATGCATATTCCGAAAGCGACTAACATTCATGTTTGTGGCTATTCGTAATTAAAAATTGAAAATTGAGAATCTCCATCACTTAACGCGCGTGGATGTGTACATATAGTTTAGTAATTCAGTTATTTTATTGTAAATGTATCAAATATTTTAAAGAATAAAAGTATCTTGCTGAATACAATTACATATGCCCAAGATGTAAGCATAAGTCTGGTCCTGAAAAATTGGTCGCAAGAACTAATTTTATTGTACTAGAGTATCCATATTATAAAAGATATTGCAGAGTCAAACGAACTAATTGGCAACATTTTTTGTGGAATCAGTGAAAACTATGAATTCATATACTTGACATACAACCAGAGCGAGCACTAGGTATATGATACAACTAGTTGGAAGGTGTTTGAAACATCGCTCTTTTAACTGAGTATTGAAGCCAATTTGTATAATTTTTAGATGTCAAAACCTTTGTTGCCAAAATTTGGCTTGGTTTGGTACGTAGCTCCTTTGGCATTACAAGACCTGCATATGTTGTTAGGTATATCGACAGCAGTAATATCAGCATCAATGGAAATAGTAGGGAGTCCTCATCGACATGGGTAAATACGTCAGGGCACAAACGTATTATAAGTTGACTAACAACATCACATGACAAATATTTACATAAATGCTTTCAATTTTCGTCCGAACAACTTCGGATAAAATTCATGAAATTGGATCCAAGAAGTGACGTGACATTTATATTAAGGAGTAGATAATTCTATGACACCTCTAATATAATTACAAACGTAGTAAATCTATATTGTATAACAAACTTTACAGTTTTTACCTGCCATTTGTTGTACAAATTTAATTCTACAGAGACAACAGAGAGACAATTCCACGGAGATACCAAGAGACACATTTAAAGACGTAGATGACAATATCTCATTACCAAAAAGGCCATAGAATTATCTGATTCCAAGCACCAAGTGCATTGTAGAAACGTGATTACTCACCCATTGTTTCTAGTACCCAGCCGACGGTGCCGTCGCCGCCACAGCAGATCACACGGAAGCAGGGTACGTCCTTAAAGAGTTGCAAGGCTCCAGCTGGACCGCCTTGAGCTAGGTTGTATACCTACATGAACAACAAGTGTTCCAGTATAAGGAGAGTCTTTGACAAGTTAGCCTTTTTTCAAGAGAGTAAACCACTTTGTGAAACTAGTCAAATGGACGTTTTGAATGTTGATATTAAGATTATCTCTTGGCAAGAGCATTGTTCAAAAGGCGGATAATCAACGACAAACGGTGAAAGTGTGGGTAATACAATTTTCGAATAAACAGCGATGTAGACTGAGGAAGAAGAGTGGATAGAAAAAAGAGGAAAGAAAATTACTGGAAGTGACGTAAGAATGGGAAACAAAATGTGAGCATCACTTGACCAATTTAAATTTTGATCCCGATTATAACTTAATATCCCGAGAGCGTTCAATGTAGGTGTGAAAAAATTGTCTTTGAAGCAGATATTCTTTCTTTGTGAAACATTCGATCAATATAATTCAGCTACTCATACACTTTCAAAGAACGACTTTTCAATAATTAGTAATGGGTTATGGAATGAACACCCAACATTTTACTTAAGGTATATTTGCAATATTAGGCGTATGCAGGAAGTCCTCATTCGAAGGATGAGCTTCACATGATTTGCTTCAAAGAGCAAATAAAAAAACATTCTGAAAGTACCAAGAATAGGGAGTTTTTCACGGCGAAGCGTTACGGTAATTGAGCGTTACGGCAAGCTTTACGGCAAGCGCATGTGCAGTTCGAGTTTCGCATCCCCTTTGTGCATCTGCGCATGCTGCGCAGAAGATCAAAAGTGAAGGGGAAAACAAGGCCTTCATGTGTTCGAGCTGACCACACTTTCAGCGCGGGAGCGGAGGCAGCTCATTCCATTTTTGAGGTGACCGACAAGATGTCCGCATGTGAGCAGTGCAAAATTCGAAATATACAATACAGCGTCAATTTATGGGTGGGCCAATAAGCAAGTTTCAAGAGTACAGACATTATACAGCAACAAAAGTTTATAGTGCTATAACAAGAAAGCAAATAAGAAATAATAATCTATTACATACAGAGATAAGAGATTTTATCTATGAGAAGAAAATATTATCACACTAGCCACCGTATGGGTGAGTGGGGCATCTTTTCTCGAAAATATTAAGTATCCTAAGCCGCCTCCAAGAGCGTATGCGCTACCCAACGGAGCGCCGAGGAGATTAGATAAAAATGTATTTTCACCCGTATGCGATAGCTACTGTAGGATGATATTGATAGTTACTAAAAAGGTATTGAACCTGATTAATAAAACGAAGAACAAGATTAATCCACTTTTTCGCAATTACAACTCGAGAATACGAGTTTTTCTGTCGAAATATCACCGTTTTCCGGCCCACCATCACCCTACTTTCTCTTGGTACGAAGTAAGGCGAGAAAGTAAAAATAAACGTGAGAGTGCGGCCTGGGGCCGGCCTGGGGGTCGCCCTCACCTGTCGCGGGTTGAGCAGGTACTGGAACTTGCGCAGCATGCGCGCGCCCTGGCGCCCGCCGCTCTTGGGGTTGATGAAGACGACGAGCGGCTTCGTGCCGGCCGGGGGCGCGATCTGGAAAGACATGGGCCCCCCGCCGCCGCTGCCGGACGCGCTGCTCGACGGGCCAGCCGACGGCTCGCGCTCCATGCTGCCGCCCTGCACATCCAACATCTCGCTCGCACGGTGCGCGGCACTCGTCGTGTTTCTAACCATTTACGCTCATTTCAAATATCAGTGTTAATAAAACATTGACCCAAAACCGTCGTAGTTTATAACCATAGATGTTTTTAAAACTTAATTAGTAAGCATTTAAATTCAAGCGGGGAGATTTAATTTCAAAGAGATATGCTTTATTAATTTTCATTGAGATTTGACTGACAAAATCATCAGAACAATTAGCCTGACTTGATAATCCAAAAATAATATACGAATCTTTATTGACGAAAACTAGTTTTTACTATTTTCCCCCCCTTGGCCACATTGGTCGGAAGACCATTCAATTTGTGGATATCTGAAAATTATAATAAGATTTTGTTACGATGGACTTCATTCATTTAGAAGTTATCGAATACGTAAAAACATCAATGTTAAAAACAACATCGGCTTCAATAAATCAATGTTGAATACATTCACGATTTTATAAAAAATCGATATATTCAAAATATCGACATCTATGTCGCATCCATCCATTCGTATTACACACTCGAGGAGGGAGCTCTGGTACTAGTTGGGCCAAGCTTCACCCGGTTTCTTGAGAAACAAAATCATCATTCACACGGTCAAACTGGGGAATTTTGATTTATTTGTTTATTTTTCATCAAAAACAGGCAGAAAATATCTGTGAATTATGGGGAAGAAGTATAATTCCCACACGTTTTCTTCAGCTCCAGAATATTAACCTTACCATCTTACTATACATACATGAATAATAATATCAACAAAACACGGGAGGCAACATTTGGAAACTATAAATTTTTGAAATTATGAATTATAGAAAACTTACTTGCATCGGTAAACTAACTACAGATTTGATTTTATAGTATTGCACACAAAATAGAAACTGTCAGCTCTTCTCGTATCATAACTAGCAATAAGAGAGCTCAACAAAAGCTGCACATAGTAAAATTACGTTTAAGCTTCATGCAAACGTAACAAATCGTACGGAATGAAAAACCAAAGATTGTCTATAAGGAATATCTACGTACGATAGTGGTACCCTCTTAATATTTCTACACAACGAAGCATTCATCTTTTCAAACAATTATTCTCATCAATATACTAAAAAAAACATTTCCCGACCGAATGTGACCGGATCATTGAAGATGACACTAACGATGAAATCCCTGTCCCGAATCATTGATGAAAGTCCTTATTTTTCAAAAATTGCAAACGTTCAACATTTTTTAACGTCTTCCTACAACTACGATATTGAAGATACAGATTCTGTTCTTAATAAAAGCTAATAAATTCTGTTCTTTAACGACAGAAAATATAAGAAGTTGTCACGAAATTTCGAATGAAAAAAGGACATGTTTAAACATTTTACTCAAAAAAAGTCTCTAAATTTTTTTCTTCAAATTATCTCCTCGTATATATCAAAGTAGGATATAAAAATGATGCTAGTCCCTTTTTTTGAAGAAGAAAAAGTCAAATTTAGAAACAATGTGAGAAAGTATGTGCTATTTATCAGTATCAGTACCAATATCGTTGAAAGAATTTTTAATTGGATTCACACAACCTTGGGGTGGAGTTTTGATGAGTTATGATTCTTGACTTTTAGATTTATTAGTGTGTGAATAAGAATTTCTCTTCTCTAGAACTAATTGGTATGAGGTAACATGGGGTACAATTTTTACTAATATTTAAAGTGCGTGGTTTCCAAGGAGGTTTTCTTCCAAATATACGATTCCCGGAAGCGTAATATCACCGTTTACTCTCATTAACAATTATATTTGATACAAAGTTTAAATTAAGCTGATTGTTTACAATTAAAGAGTTTTTTAAAGAGAATTTAAAATATTACTGAATTTAATGATTCACTATATACTTATGTATCTAGGGGGTGTCTTTTGTTATTGATCAGAACATTTTATACACACTCAATGAGAGACTGTTAGTCCTATTGCGTCCGTAGTCTTGCTTTTGCCTACAAATTCAGAATACAGGAAGAACGAAGACATAGGTACATATTATTGCAATGGATGTCTCTTCATCGTTATGGAGTGTAACTAATGATTATTGCGTATTCGGCAACAGGAGGAACATCGATGCGTCGGGGAAACAGCTGTTGCGTTTCCTGGAAATGAAGTACTGGGAAGCTGCTCGGATTGTGTTAATCGGCTGCCTGATACGGATTCCGTAATGAAATTAAACCCTTTCCTACGTCTGAAATTAATTGTGACGTGTCGGCAATTTAGTAACACAGAACGCAACGAAATTAACGGTTCTCCTCAATTTACAGAATACTAAAAAATATATACAGTTTTGATTTTTCTTTGGATTTCGGAAGAATGGATCACAGGCAACAAAAATGTTCTCAGTAGGGTTGCCACCTCTCCGGTTTTAGACCGGAGACTCCGGTTTTTGAGCTTCATCTACGGTCTCCGGTTTTTGAAAAATTATCTCCGTTTTTTTGTTCAATTTCAATACATTTTCAAATTTTTTACAAAATAAATAAATTTTTCGACTTAAAATTTAAAGCTTTTTCTATTTCATCAGAAATCTGTCCTTTCGTCCTTCATTAGAAAGATAAAGAGCAGAACATTTGTTTTTGTATTATAAATGTTCATATATTGTAAAACAGTAGGGTTGTGGCTACCACCTGGCAATCAGCCAATTGTAGCCAAATAAATATTATTATTATTATTAT